ACGAGTATGGATGTGCGGACGTTCTACGCTTACTATTTACGAAGCTGTAAAACTGTTTAGGGTCCTGTGAAAATCGTATCCTGCATCGAGATAGGTAGTTTTTATAGCATTGAGCGTTAAGAACGGAGAAATTTGACCGAGCTATTACATAGTGAGAAAGAGAAGAGAGAGAACCAACTTCTCGAAATTTTTTATAAAGTCTTGATTTTAAATTTTTTAGACTGGATAACTATTTGGTAAACCAAGGAGGCTTTCCAGATCTAACCGGACAAGAAAGTGGGACACGAGAATCAAAAAGTGTGTCAAGTACATTGTAAAAAATGTTTGTGCCTTTTATAACGTCAGTGCACAAGTATAGAGCGGACCAATCAAAATCCCTAATAAGGTTATTAAGCTTCGTAAACTCGGCTTTACGAAATCAGCGGACACGTTCAGATAGCCTACCCATTCGATCCAATACAGTAGGGCCAATATCGACTGACACTTTGAATGTAGGATGGTAGGATGGTATGTACGCGCTTATATATGTATTTATATATATAACTGAGTGTTACATATGTACATGCATGGGTTCACTACACAACCCCTAGCGGAGGAGATGTAGAATCTAAATGGAACATGTACAATCTACATGTTAGATGTAGAATATACATAGTATATGTAGATGTAGCTAAAGGATGTAGCAAGCAAATGTAAAATGTAAAATTTTTTTTTTTGCTCAAATATGTATATATGTATATATATATGTATATAGAGTCCCCAGAAGCGACTCGCACGTTCCTTCTCGTTGTTATTGATTTAGGCATGTAGTTCCAACGAGTAGGCGGGATGGGGATAGGCACCCAAGGCAAGGCCCGCTTTCCCCGGGAAGCCTAATTTAAACTGGAGGTCGGCAGGTATCCAGAGTTCGCATATACAGCACCGAGCTCCCCCTCGGCCACGCATCCATTAGCATATCCTGTTTCACCGTGGATTGGGGTAATTTCACTACGAGAGTTTTCTTCTCTCCGCCCGACTACAATTAGCCAGCATCCGTGGCAGAGACGACCGTACCAGGACCTGTTTCCAGCCGCCCTCACGAGAAGAGTATAGTCGCACTTCCACTGGTGTGTACAATTACGGCGGGTGACGGGTCGCTCATGATCCCCCCGCATCATAGAAACCAGAAGCAAGGCCGCATCAGATCAGGGCAAACGAAACGCTCCTACCCCTAGTCCAAGGGTCCACTTATGGCGAGATGGCCCTTCATCTGTGTCCCCCTGTATCACCCGTATGGCTGACGGCTAGTCTGTGGTCTAACTTTCAGTCATAATTTTGTAACTATAACACTCGCGTAGCAATGTAACTCTGTTGGATCTTTGGGATTATATAGTGCCAATATTGGCGCTTCCAACAAGTTACTCTTTAGCTGCTTGAAACGCTAATTCTGTGGCTCCGAACTCAAATTTTCTGTCTTTTCTGACCAGATCACAAAGAGGCTTAGCTTTTCTCGAAAAATACTTCACAAACCGTATGAAGTATGGACATAGCTCTAAAAAAAACTTTGCACTTCATTCGTTTTCATTGGAGCTGAGAACTCTTCCTCGCCTGTCCGATTTAATCCCGTTACCCGAAATATTATAATGGTTTAATATAATATAAATATATGGTTTAGTGTTTTTCAAGAGTTTTTAAAATCTGGTATTTTTTATGCTTTTTTAGAGGTAGTGCTTTTATTTAGCTTTCAAATTCAAATTTGATCATTTTTTGCGGAATTTTTTTCCGAAATTTTGACTTTAAAAACTCGGGAATTGGGATCGCGATCAGGTACCAAATGTACAACCCTTTTTCGTTTGCTTTGTTCCCAATTGGCAGTTGGGTCCGCAACCTTCCAAAAGGTATTTTTTGTTAATTTTTTAGGTTTGGTTAACGAATTTTAGCTTCACCGTCTCTCCATAGATTTTAAAAACAATACCTTAAACGACGCCAATTAATGCACCTATACACAAAAAAAAAAGAACACAGAATATAATTTTTTTTCGACTTTTCTCGAGTTATTAAAGTCAAAATTTCGTTAAAAATACCGCAAAACGAGAAGGAACGTGTGAGTCACTTCTAAAGACGCGACTCTACTTATACCCGTACTCAGTCAGTATTTATATTTTTAAACATATGATTTTTTAGAATTTTAGCATTAAAAAAAAAAAAATTTACACTTTAAATTTTTTTGCTACATCTGGTATCTACATCTACATATATTATGTATATTTCACATCTAACATGTAGATTATACATGTAACATTTATATTCTACATCTCCTCCGCTAGGGGTTGCTCGCGCACTGCGTTTCTTTGGCTGTGCAGGTGGGGGAAGCAACTCAAAATTCAATTTCTTCATTCTGGCTATAATTATGATCCGATCTGATTCAGATTCTGCAATCTGGTATATATGGTCATTCTCTACGATACTGCCTTTTTAGTTTTATCGTATCTTTAAAATTCTGCCTGCCACATTTTCGTCCTTTGTGGAAGCGGAAGGCGGCGGAGCAAATTTTGACATGCACTTATAGCAGTGGGACATTACATGAGTCTGGAAACTAAATTTGGTTTCCCCAGCTCTTATAGTCTCTGAGATCCAGGTGCTCATCGAGACGGACATGGCTATATCGACTCGGCTATTGATGCTGATCAAAAATATATATACTTTATAGGGTCGGAAACGTTTCCTTCTCTGCGTTACACACATCCACTTTTACCACAAATCTAACTCTTTAACTCTTTATTGAGTACGGGTATAAAAATACCAGAATTCAAAAATTCTTAAAAAAAAAGTTCTGCCATAGAAAAAAACCGTAATTCTTTTAAAAATTTTAAAGTCCCATATCTATCAGAAAAAGTTGGTTTGGATCCTTGAGGAAAAAAAAAGTTGGATTATGTCGAGTAGTGTTATTTAATATTTTTAGTCAGTGGTGCAGCCTTAAAGTTATTCCTGTTATTTGTTCGTTACTTGCACTGCCCACTGTACCTAATTGTAATCGACATGCATCTACACTCGCCCCCTCACTGTATTAGCCGTTTCACCCTTCTTTCGTCTCTTCGTCTCGCGCCTTTCTCCTTTACTTTTCTATCACTCTCGCTCTGACGCTCTCTCGTTCTCTCGAACACTCTCGCTCTCTATTTCGTAGCATCGCGTAGGGCACGGGCAATTCGGTCCGTCTGCCCTCACATGCCCTCGCAATGGTCATGATCTGGTCTAGCACTTGCATGCCTTTGCAGTCTCACGCACTTTTCTCTCGCTGCATATATAAACACGAATCGCGGTCTATATATGCATCTAACTTTCTTCTTTCTTTCGCTTTCGTTTTCTTCATTAATCTTTCTCTCACTTGGCTTAGGGCACGGGCAATTCGGTCCGCCTGCCCTTAGGTGAGTCTGGAAGTAGCACCTGACTAACCGTCGCCTTATCGACCTAATCGACAATGAATAAACATATTTGTATAATAATCTGTTCGTGACGTTTTATTGTATCGAACTGCAAAGTTCAAAAATGTGATTTTGGGCTAGAGCGTAAATGTCGTGTTAACTCTCCTGATTTTTTTTTTTATTAGTACTTTGGGTATAACATAAGGCTGGGCCAAACAATTTTTTTTTTTCGAAATGGAAACGGGACACCCCCTAGATTTTTTACCTTGGATTTAATAGTAATTTACATGTTATTATTTTTAATTTTTTTATTTTTTAGAGGTTGCTACCGAATTTTACAACAAATTTTAATCAAGCAAATAAAAAAGAAATGTTTTCTGAATGAGTTGGATAATTGGTGAAATCTATTGCTTATATATTAATACCATTCATATCTTCATTAATCAGTTATTGGCAGTAAAAAACCTGCAAAAGTTTTTGCGAACTAAATATATCAACCTCAGCTGAACTTCCAGATTTTCACCAATTATTAATTTTTTAACAGTAACTATAAAAATAAAATAAAAACACCTTATGTTACGAACTAGTAGTCAATATGAACATGTAATTTAGTAAATATACATTAAAAAAAATTGATTTCGTCGGTTTTTTCAAATAACATTGAAACTTTACTTTTATTAAATAACAAAGAACAGAATTGGGGGGTGTCCCCTTGAAAAAAAAACAAAAAAAAATTAGTTTGGTCCTATTTTGGCCCAGCCTAGTGCCTAGTGCCATACTCCGCCTCGCTGGCTCTGATTTAGCGTTAGAAATAGTAAAAAGCAGTAACCAACCCAATTCATCACTAATCTCAAAAATATTGTAGTGACATAACACTTGAATAAAAAATTCTTTATTTTATTAAAACTTACTGAAAATTACTGATGCTTGTTTGGGTTAAAGCATTCTATAAATTAGCTACTTATGGGAAGTTGGACCAACAACATACGGTATTTTTTCAGGTAAAATGAGTTTTTAGTCGTTTTGGTCGTTTATCTATCGATTCTTTCAAACGATACATTAAACGACGACTAGTTAATGTGACTATCTAAAACCAAAAAGTCAAGAAATATTTATTTTTTTACTTTTCCTTAGTTTTTTTAGTCAAAATTCAGGGGAAAATTTGAGAGTTTAATATCTTCCAGACGTTAAGCTGCAGCTACAAATTGTCTGGGCCGGAATTTAAGCTGCATTTGTCTTCTTTTCAGAACTGGAAAGTTCTATGCAACCAGATATAAAATAGTTATGATAAAAATAGAAGCACTACCTCTAAAAAACACACACAAAAAATAACAAATTTCAAAAGTTCTCAAAAAAAAAAAAAAACTAAACCATAAAAAAGAACATAGTTCTTTAAAACTTTTTAAATGTATCAGAAAGAGTCATTTTGGGCCACAGCGGGGGAAAAAGTTCAATTTTGTCGAGTAGTGTAATCTTTTGTCAAAATTTTGACTTTTTATAATTTTTTTTTCACATTTTGTCGTACGAAATGGAACTGCCCATATATGTATTTATGCATTCATATACTTAAATTAAAAAAATATTTAATTCTTTTGAGCTTTATTTTTATTTATTTTTCTATAATTTCATTTTAGATTTGTGCGTGATGGTTATTATATTGTAAATATACGAGTATATCTGTATACATTTCCTTTTTTTAGCTAGCTAGAATGTTCTATGATAGTAGATGTCCAATTTAGAACATGAGCTGTACATATGAAAATTATCTAATAGATAAATTACTTCAACTAATTAATCTACAGTAAAGAATTAAAAATAAGTTAAAATATTTTTAACACAACAATTTGGAGAGTAAATTCTTCAATTACTTAAACAGAAGTTACCAGAATTGACTGTGGTTGCGGTGCCCGGGGACGAATCATCATCGTTGCCTTTTTTAGTGTGTAATCCCAGCCTCGCCAACGAAACCATACTATTCCCTGACGAGCAGTTAAGTCTTGCGGATCATGAAGGTATAGTCCATTTAATCCACGGCCACAGGACTTCCACCACCAGCCACCCTAGAAGATAAATGCAGACAATTCGATTTAATATTTATTATTTAAAAAGATTTGATCGCTACACATCCCAAAAAAAATTAATTCTTAAACTTCATCTTTATTTTCAATTCCATCATCTTAAACTTCATCCCAATCTTCTTTGTCTTATCTTTTTATTCTTGGTAATCTTCTTTATCTTATTCATCTTTACCTCCATCTTTATGTTTACGTTCTACTTCTCATCTCAATTTCCAACTTTGTCTTCTTTATCTCCATATGTATCTATATTCTCCTTCTTCTTTCGTAACGAAAGTTACATTCTTTACTGTAACCACACACACAATTTACTGATGAAATGTTCAATATATCGCTCATCCGAGAGAAATTATTGTTTACATAAATAAAGACAGTCGCTACTGTCATGAGGTTATATTCAAACATGAGTCGGATGGTATGTGAATCTCACTGAAATTCAGACACCATCAGTTGCTCAACGGAATTGATCCAAATTCAAACCTGATAATTTCGCACAATACAGTATTCCAAATGTCATCTTTCGGAGCCACAAAAATAGTTCAGTATGTATACCACAAAGTGTGATCATTGCTATTAATGCCAAACGCAGAACATACATTTTTACAAAATATACTTCATGGGTGGTGAAAACATCAATCGGGACATCAATCCGTGGATACGACTTTGACACCATTTTTACTGGAGAATTTGATGTCCATGAAAAACTAGCTGCATTAAATTTCCCAACTATTTCTGCACAATTCTCATTGAACGCATATTATGAGATATTTTTGTTTATTTTGTTGACAAATACAGAGGCGAACATCGGTGCCGTATTTTTCTGCTGAGCTGATAACACGATCCGTTGCCAATTACACTACTCGACAAAATCGAACTTTTTTTTTCCTCAAGGATCCAAACCGACTTTTTCTGATAGATATGGGGATTTAAAATTTTTTAAAGAATTATGGTTTTTTTTCTATGGCAGAACTTTTTTTTTAAGAATTTTTGAAGTCTGGTATTTTTTTTTAAAGCTTTTTTTTAGAGGTAGCGCTTGTTTTTTTCACATAGCGCTTTAGTTTTTTCACGCTCAGATTTCTGGTTGTAAAGAACTTGGCAGTTGGGCCCGCAACCTTCCAAAAGGTATTTTTTGTTCATTTTTTTCATATTTTAGGTTTGGTTAACGAATTTTAGCTCCAAAGTCTCTCCATAGATTTTAATGAGCGATACCTTAAACGACGCCAAATTAACGCACGAACCATCCACGAAATGGATGGTGGCCTGTGGGAATAGGCTATAAATCATTATTTTGGTAATAATTCAATAAAAATGCTTCTGCTCCCTTCATCTTACCCACCGCGTTTGTTTACATTAGCAAGCCGAACAGAACACCAGTTCTCTATCATTACCAGCTAATAAGGCTTCACCATTTATCATATGACCATATGTTACAACACTTAACATAAATAATACATTTTCCTTACCTTTAACATGCTTGCGCAGTTGAGCGAGCTTCGATCATTGTCTTTATTGTATGTGGAAAACGGACTATTATTTGATCCATACCATGGATCGTTAAGCGAGTCCCCTGCGTTTCCTTCATATCCATCGATTTCAAGCTTATAGTAATCCGCCTCTGAGTGTATTTTAAAGTGAGAATACTGGGCATATCTGTAATCAAACAATTAAATGACTTAACTCAAAAACACTACAGATCTATGAAGGAATCAGTCGATGCCGGAATCGTTATATTACGATATTTTTTATTAATATTATACATACTACTATGAAAAAAACGACTATTAAAAGCCCGCAACAAGGACTAATTTCATGTGCAGTTTTAGCACCAACAACATGCATAAACTATTTATTATGTATTAAATGGTCACTTGCTGGGCCGGATCAACCCTCAACGGGGCCCTAGTCAATACTTTGATTGATTTAATTGACGAATTTGGTAACGATGGTAATTGTATTTATACAATGACGCTTTGACAATCAATTTTATGAAAACGTTATAAGTTTTTATTTCACTTGAAAATTGAAAGAAACGGCTATGAAAAAACGGAGGGCCCCCAAATTGATTGTTGTCGCTCTCATTGAAAGTAGATCTAAAATTTAGTTGCCAGCACAATGTCTAGAAGCGTTACAATAAATAGTCAAAGTTGAAATTTGACTCCGTTGCATATTTGCCTTTTTGTGGTGAATAAAAAGCTAAACTTTGATTTTTGGGATCAATAAAGAAAGTTTAATGGTCATCGCTACACATTATAACTGTACATTATAATATATATACATAAAAATTTCTTTTCGGTGTTTTATTTATCTCCTCACAAACGGCTCGACCGATTTTCATCCAATTTTTTTCGTATATTAAGAAGACCGCTCATAGGATGTAAGATAATTTTTAATTTTTATTACCACCCATCAACTTTTAATAGCGATTTTTTGTTTTTGTATCAAGAAGTGCTTTGATTTAGTTGTCAGTCTGTTTTGTGACATAATCTAATCAATTTTGTTAAAGGAAAAAATGCCAGTTGCACCGTCGAAAAAATCATGTAACATTAATACGACATCGTAAATTAAGTAGCTCTGTGAATAAGTCCTAAATTATTTTTGATCTCTATATTTCGACCCATATCCTTTTAATATCGATTTTAATGTTTTTCGATCGAGTAGTTCTCTGATTCAGTTGTCAGTGTGTTTTGTGAAATAATCTCGATTGAATATCTTTTCTTGGTGTTTTTTTCTTCTTTTTTTTATACCCGTACTCAAAAAAGAGTTAAGGGGTATATTAGATTTGTGGTAAAAGTGGATGTGTGTAACGCAGAGAAGGAAACGTTTCCGACCCCATAAAGTATATATATTCTTGATCAGCATCAATAGCCGAGTCGATATAGCCATGTCTGTCTGTCCATCCGTCCGTCCGTCCGTCTTGTTGAGCGTCCGGATCTCAGAGACTATAAGAGTTAGGGTAACCAAATTTGGTTTCCAGACTCATGTGATATCACACAGCTACAAGTGTATTTCAAAATTTCGCCCCGCCCCCTTCCGCCTCCACAAAGGACGAAAATCTGTGGCAGGCACATTTTTAAAGATACGATAAAACTAAAAACGCAGTATCGTAGAGAATATCCATATCTACCAGAATCTGAATCAGATCGGATCAAAATTATAGCCAAAATGAAGAAATTAATTTTCTGTTGCTTCCTCTGCCCCCTCCTGCTACTAATTCTCTTTCTCGCTCTCACACTCTGCCGCGTATGTACGCGAGCGCTCTCTACCGGAGTTGATGTAGAATCTAAATGGTACATGTATAATCTACATGTTAGATGTAAGATATACATTGTAGATGTTGATAACAGATGTAGCAAAAAAATGAAAAATGTAAATTTTTTTTTTAATTCTAAAATTCTAAAAAATCATAAGCACAAAAATGTATATACTGACTGAGTACGGGTATAAGTAGAGTCGCGTACACAGAAGCGACTCACACGTTCCTTCTCGTTAAATTTAAAACCCCATTGAGCCTATCAGTGCAGTTTGCAGTTTTAAGAAAGTTTTCGGAAATGGCAAAGTCAATGGCCCTATTAATGGCTATAAGCTCAGCTGTGAGTGACGATAACTTTTTGTTGGTAAAGAAACTTTTAACGGATCCTGATTCTTTATGGATAAAGGCAAAATCCACGTGATTGCCTGTGACTGAGCCATCCGTGAAAATTAAATTGAAGTGTTTAGATTTTAAATGAGTTAATTTTTCTTGAGCTAACGAATTTATAAGAACATTACTTGCAGATCTTTTGTTTGGACATGAGCCCTTGAAAAAATCTGTGTCGGTTGAAATTTTGCTGTTAAAACTACGTACATCTGTGATCGGTACAATTGCATTCAAAATGTCTTTAAACTCGTCGTAGACTTTGGCGTAGCTGGTATTCTGTGCCTCAAAATAACTGACCAAAAGCGATGACGCCGGAAGACCATACGCAAAAATCTTAGCCAGCTCCTTAGCTGTAATCAATTTTAGTCTGTATTCAGGTGGAAGTTCGGCAGCTAGATTGTAAATTATATTTACCGGGGTGGACTTTATTAGGCCTAGTGCTCGCCTAAGATGAAAATTTATATGAACTTTAATTTTGTTAGATACCACCTTAGAAATGTTTGCAAATTAGGAACAAGAGTATTCTAATTTGGAGCGTTCAAAGGCTTTGTAAAAATTTAAAGATTTGCTTGGACTAACTCCCAAGTGACATCCACTGAGCATTTGTAAAAACATGTTATTCTTATTTGATTTTGAAATTATTTCATCAATGTGAAGTACTGAGGAGTTATTGGCAGCAATTATTCTACCAAGATTATTTACTTTACCTACCTCTTTTAGTGTTTCATTGTTATGTACTATATTTAATGGACGTTTTCTATTACTAAAATGATTTACGGTAGATTTTGTCGAATTGAATCTTAAGTTTTTACTGCTGCATACCATATTGAATTTATTTATTTTTTCTTTTAAAATCAAAAATTTTGTGAAAGCATAAAATAAAAAAGTCATCTGCATACTGAAATAGAATACAATTTTCATAATTTATAGAATGAAAATCTGATGTATAGATATTAAAAAGTATTGGGCTAAGGCAGCTACCTTGACACACACCCTTGATAACAGTTTTTTTCTGTTTGCCGCATTTTAAAACCCTTTTCTCCAAAAAACTAGCTATAAACCTAATATAGTCTATGTCAAACTCCAAATCTATTAGCTTCCGACACAGCAGAGGTATGTTGACTGCGTCAAATGCCTTGCTTATATCCAAAACCACTGCAACAACCTGAAAGCCTTTGGCTTTGAGATTGGGTGCATTATTTATTACATCATTTATGCAGTGTGCAGTGGAGTGGTTTTTTCTAAAGGCATAAGATCTATTGGGCAGTAGATTGTGCCTATTTATAAAAGATTCCATACGAATCTTTATCATACCCTCCAAGCTTTTAAATAAAACGCTTAGGAGGCAGATAGGTCTGTTGTTTGAGACGATGGAGGCGTCTACATTTTTTTTTTACAGGAATAACCTTTATTATTCGCCAACTATTCGGAATAATTTCACTGAAGAAAATTTCGTTTAATAACACTAGTCAACACTAGAACTAGGCTGTGGCCCAAAATTTAGATTCTTATAGCTTTCGGGGTTTACAAATTTTTAACGAATTAACAAGATAAATTTAACGAGAAAAGTCGAAAGAAAAATAATTCTTGGCATCCATGTTTAGTTTTAGATAGACGCATTAACTAAGCGTCGTTTAAGGTTTTGCAAAACAGCGCCGGATATCTAGTTTTGACCTCCAATCTAGATAAATTTTCCATCGTCATACATTTTTGTATACGCATACGCTCGCTTTCTAGCAGGACAAGAAATGTGATTTTCTTTGCAATTTGCACAGATCACATCAGTACAGATAGCTTCTAATGAATGCGAGCATGAAATTTTATAACATTTTTTTTCTGCTTGTTTGCAATGTTGAGCAAAATGTCCAAATCTATAGCATCTATAACATTGACTAAAGGGAACATAATGTATCACTGGTACTTTTCTATAAAGAAATGCAACTTCTGAAGGAATTTGTGCACCTTTAAACAAGAGTTTAACTCTTGAAGATGGAACAAATAAATCTTTGTTATTCTTATCTCTTGTTTTAATTCTAATCAATTTCTCAATAGGAACCGGAGAGTCGATGTATTCAGCTAATAATTCGTCAGAACTGGATGTTGGTATATTAAAAATTAGACTCGTTTTATATACGAAATGATTAAAAATTTTAGGTTCATAACCATGATTCTTTAATTTATTGGCACTCATTGAGTTTTTAAATTCAATTTTGCATCTGCCAAAGCCTATCTTTGACACAGTCAGAACACCGTCAACTTTCAGTTTCATTAATATACAACTAAGATCAATGGGGTTAATAGGAAATCTTTTTGATTCATGTTCTAATTATGCCTTAACCCGGGGAGCTCTGCCGGGGTGGACCGTTCCCCTTCTCTGCAGCTCGTGGGAACTATATGGATAAAAACGAAAACATAAACAACAACAAAAACAAAAACGAGAGAGGCACTCCCCAAATGCCTGCAGGGAGAAATCCAAGCGGAGAGGCAGCGGCCCAAAGGCCTGGCCCGATCCGCTCAGACGCAGGAAAGACCTGCACGGTGAAGGACGCGGGTATGAATCCGGGTGGGTCCCATCCCAAACCTGGGATGGGTGGAAGACAACACCCAAAACTGATACCATGGTAGGGCAGCTAAGCAATATTGCGGCTGCTCAACCTTCCGGTGAAGCGGCGGGTGATGGCTCACCCTCAACCAGTGTCCAAACCAGGAAATATAGCTATGCCGAAAAGGAGTGCTGGCCACATATCATCGGCAGAACGCCGGAAAGGGCCTCGGCGGTATTGCCCAACTTCAGTGTGGAGCCACAGAAGGTGGCAGCACAACCGAAGAGGCAGGCTCTCAAGAGACGCCCGGACCTGCCGCGAAGCGCTCCAGAGTGCTACCAAACGTATCCTTCGCGCAGATTGCCAAGGAGAGGACTCTGATAGGCGTTCTCGACAAAGGCAGCGCGGAGGGGAAAATACCCAGAAGCCAGTGGAAGTGGGTGGAAGCGGCACTGGCCGACCGCTGCTTC